CCTCTCTCGCAGACGAAGAATGTCTTTGTATTCAAGACGTGTCAGGAGTGGTGGAGTCAACTGAAAACCGCCGGTTCGGCCATATATGCCAACAGAAACTACTTGAAACTCTACCGCAAAACAAATCCGGAACTGTTGGCGTCGGACACGCCGTCGGGGCCTAAGATAACGGGCGACGTCTTCATACACCCGACCGCCTCCATCGACCCCACGGCCACCGTATGTCTCATTCACACCAATATATTGATTACAAAATGATAACATTTATTGCATTATTTGATAACAAATAACATAACATTGAATACAATATGTTTGCAAAGATCGGACCCAACGTTAGTATTAGCGAAGGCGTGAAAATAGGCGCCGGAGTACGGGTTAAGGAGTCTATTATACTAAGAAACGCCACAATTCAAGACCATTCGCTAATCATGCACTCAATTGTGGGCTGGAATTGCACCGTAGGCTTGTGGTCGCGAGTGGAGGGCACCCCCTGTGACCCGAACCCCAATAAGGCGTTCGCCAAAATCGATAACCAGCCCCTCTTTGACGGCGACGGCAAACTCAACCCTTTGATCACCGTTTTGGGTATAATATGATATAAAATATGTAAAATGTGTGTAAAATAATATAATTGACATGTCTTTGAAGGTTCAAACGTTCAAATCTGTTCCGAAATCATTGTCTTCAACTCAATTGTATTGCCGTTTAAGGAATTGAATAGAAGTTATAAAAACGAAATAATACTATAATATATAAAATAAGACACAATTCAACGATTCAAACTTAATTCGTGTATAAAAATACTAAGTTTTCAAAAAAGTATGCGTAAAATATTGGAAGACTTTTAACAATTATCACAATCAGTGAAACCGAGTCTTGAATATAAGTTCTGCTGTTCTGTGAGGAGTTGTTTCACCTGAATATCGGATTTATTTATTTATTTATTAGAAATTAAATTATTTTCTAACATTAAAATCGCAAACCTTTTTGACCGCTTCGGTAAACACCTGCGCCTGAGATATGAAAGACAAGTCGACGACATTGCACGTGTGGATGAGCTGTAAGTGTCGGCTCAATACGACATCCATTTCAACGATTTCTTTATGAATACATTCTCTCAATTCGTGAATCTTCGAGAGGTTCGCCAAATCGTCGTCAATCACATCCAACGATTCGTTCAATTTTTGAGCAGAAATTTTGGCCAATTTTAACGACTGGTATCTGTAGAACTCGAGGGACAACCTGAGGCTCTGAATGGCCACTACCAGTGCCGCTTCAACCGCTTTATTACTGTTGGATTGCCCCAAATCCCTGTCCGTTTGTGCGGATGCATCGCATTTGTTTTCGTAGCCATCGTTGTGAATCTCATTCGTGCCGCTGATGACGGTTCCAATCAGTGTTGCGGTACTCGAAGATAATTCCGATGACATGTCATTCATCGATGACATTACGTTGGGTTCACTGAAACCCAACTCTTGATTTGTAACACAATTTTGCCGCTGAAATGGGTTTCGTTTAAACATATGAGAAAAATTGTTGCCTCTGTTGTCGATCAGGTTATTGTCGAAAATTTGTTCGTCAGATGCAGTCGATTGCGAGACATCCATATCATTGTCGGTCACCGGCATTGTGGTGATGGGCGAAGGTGATGGCGTTTTAGGGAAGGCCAGTGGGTCGCCGTCCGTATCGAGTTTGTAAGATTTGGTGCCAATTATAAGTCGTTTAGAGCTGAGTTGGTTCGGTTGGTCCTCCTTTCCCTGACTCTCCAGAAACTTACGGTTCGCCGGATTTAAGATACTCTCCGATTGTGGTAACGAACCGCACGAAGAGGTTATGATTTCGGGCAAATCCGTCTTCATGAGCGACTCTTTACTACTGAACCTCTTTCTGAAGCGATCACTAATTCTTCCGCTGCTATAACTTCTTTCGCGTAAATCTGGTTTCAAAACATTTCAATTGATTTATAAAAATATTTTCTAAAATGAAGCACAGATTGAGAGATTGAGACAGAATAGAAGAATAGAGCGCTTTATTGTATAGAAATTAAAATACTTTTACAGATAAATTGCGATAAAATTTATTGACAGAAATGAAATATTAGAAAATATATTTTTTTTAAATGCTATAATTGTTAAGTTAGTACTAAATAGAAAGTTAAGTTATATCAGATAAGATAAGGTATTATTATTAAAACTACTGTTTTCGTAATCAAATGAGTATTAGTTTGAGTGTAGAATTAGTTGTAAAGAATTGTCAATAGAAGCAAATTTTAAGCGAAGTTTTATTGATTAAAATGGTGTCAAACCTGTCGACTGGAATGATACCGACGGCGAGAGACTCGGAATGTCTTTCAGACCATAAGAGTTGTACATATTTTCCGGATTTACTCCTTTGGCAGAAGAGGGAGATTCGAGAAATCTTTGAGGAATTCTATTGAGTGCCTGATCTTCAGGAACGTAACCGAATCCGAGCGATAAAAGTAGTTCTTCCGGGTCTTCACGTCTAGACTCTAACAACGACTCAATGCTAGAGATACTGGACATCGAGAGGTCTGAATTAAAACTGTTATATTTGCTGTTCATTGCAATCAACTCCATGGCCCGCATGTTGTTATAACTTCTTCTTCTAACCAACATTTCCTTAATTCTCGGACTAATCACAGGAATTGAAGGACTGTTCGGTATCTCACTTATGGATTGATTCGGTTTGAAGACATCGTCGTGCGGACCAACACTCGTACTGTTACTGATGTACCCGCTGTCCACCCATTCCCTCACTCTGTCATCGCTGTATTTATCCATATTTTCGGCGATTATTCCGAGTCTCTGATCTCTAAATTGTTTAATTGCTTTCAATTTCTCTTCAGTACTAATGTTACGCCTAATGATCGCAACCATAAACTTAAGGCAATCGATTGGCTCGGATTGTGTCCAACCATTAGCCGACAAACTTAGTCCTAATTTTGATCTTAAAATTTCTTTTAATTCATCAAAATTTGTGGAATTATTGTTAATTTGTTTTCCCTCTAAACGATTGACAGGACAATAATTTTTTTCCCACTTTTCATCTGTTTGTCTGTTATTTGGACCAAAACTATGTTTCCACTGATAGACAGGAATCCTCGACCCCTTTGCGTTGAGATTCAAATACTTTTTCCAAAACTTATGATTTCTGTGAATATTTGTGTCATTTGACTGATTGATAGGAATATCGCAAACAATTCTCGATAAAAATCTCGGAATTCTTGAAGTTTTATTGGAAGCGCTCAAGAGATCAAAGTTTGTTTCATTCAAATTCATATGATATCTAATCCATCACTCAATTGAATAGTGTTTTGTGTTTCTTAAGGAAAATTAAAAAATTTGAAACAATTATAAAGCTATTAAAAATCGATATTATTTTAGGTTTATTTATAGGAAAAAGTATCGAAAATAGACTTTTTGTGTGGAATCGAGGGAAAAGATAAGTAATTTGTAATTATTTAAGCCATAAATTAAATGTCATGCAATTAATGATAAGAAATATAGACATTTAAAATCCAGACTTATTTAAAAGCAATAAACAAATGCGTTTAAAATAAATATTTAGTCGAAATAATCGCAAACAAAATAAATAAATAGAGAAATGGTTTGTTTGAATGGTATGCCTAAATGATTGCCATAAAACCCTTTGGTCCTAAACTTTGACACACATTTCGGCATCATTTTAGTGTCTATTAGCGCTAATCACTCATAAAGTTTTGCCTGAAAATTGAGTTTCAAAACATATAAATAGCAAAAACGAAAAATAATTTGTGGAAAACAGTGATAAAGTGAGATATATTTGAAATGAAAATAAAATATGACTTTTACTTCGTATTCAATAAAAATCGCAAAAGAAAAGAGATTTCGCATCAAATGTAATGTATTTTTCATGCATTCAATACATGAATACTTTTGAATACATGAATAGACATTACATTTAATATTGAAAAATAGGACTACATTTTTCGGTGCACTTTATTGATTATTAGGCTATAAATCAAATATAAATTGTTTTTCCGATTAAACCCTATTTTGTGTGTAGTTTTTGCACTAAAATACACAAAACATATAAGTTTTTGAATGGCATTTGAAATGCATTTGAATGTCAAACGCATTACGGCTTCAATTCATTTGAGATATCATTTCAGACATTCATATAATAGTCATATAATTCATAATCCAATTGCAACTCACTTTTCAATCAATACTTGAATATTGACTTAAAAGTTGTGAATATATTTCAAATGAAGACTCCATTGAAACAATTTGGAGGAAGTAATCATAGAAAAGGCATTTTGTGCTAACATTTTGATGCGATTATAGCGATTCAATAGTAAAAAAAGTCTGACATTTGTAGCATTCATTTGACGGCAACTCTTACTTATCGCAGAAATTAATTCTTCATAACATGTCTTACCATTGAATGTGAATAACAATAATGATATGATTTATGAGCCAAACATCACATAGTCTTCTCATTCATGACAATTGTATTAATCATTGAATTTGGTGTGAAATATATAAACACATAAACAGATAACCAATGGTTTAGCGCAGTGTTTGTTGTTTACTGACTGACTGTCACCACAACTATCGCACGGCTAATGCTATTGTATTGTCAATGGTTTGCAATAGCATTGAAGCGCTGGTAGCTCTGCCTCTACTTTGGCATTGAATTTAAAAAAACTATATTTTATATTAGCCTTACTTGTTACGATATATTTTATTCAATTAATTAATTAATAGATAAAAAAAAGTGTTTTTTGAGTCGATTTTGTGTCATTAAATGATTTATATTTCTCTAGAAATAAGAGAAATTCTCTGCCGATAACACTAATAATGGGTTTTTATTAAGAGATTAAAAAACTTTTCTCAGCATTTGATTTATCGCTTACTGTATGTGATATACAGAATATAACAGAATATACAGTTCAGTACTTATGATACAATTGTCAAACACACCACACATTGTGCCCAACAATTGAACGTTTTGTACAGAATTTCTGTATTAAAAAATATTATTGATTTCAATCGATTCCACAATTCTTGTAATGTCTTTGAGAGAGAAGTGACTCTTGCGATGAAATAACAGTTTGTGTTAAGCATTACGTAAAATAACTTATTTCTCTGTGTTATTCATACATAAGGCGTGTCTCTCAACAGAGAATTACATTTTTCCCCAAACTTTAAGCACTGGATAGAGAGTGAAACTGAAGGGAAAGTTGTCTAAAATTTGTTTATTTAGTCACTAAATGTTAAGTATATTATTCTGTTGTGCTTTAAACACATGTGAATGTAATGAATGAAAATTCTTTCACATTTTTCTTTCTTTTTTTGGCACTCATTTTACGCTCAAAAAGCCGTTAAACAAACATTAACTTTGAATATGTTTTTAATTAGAATTTATTAACAATACAAATATGAATACAAATACAAATAAAATTGCTATAAATATATTTATAAAATTCTATATCAGAATCAATAAACAAATTAATATTAAATATTCCACTCAAACGAAACTCAATTACAATTTCTCTTTCATTCATTGCTTTCCTTTCGTTGTAATCGTGTTTCGCTTAAAATGTTTCAACAAATATCTTATTATTCTTATCATACATTTAAGAGAAAACAAATAAGTTATGAGAATTATATTCAATAAGTTTCTTCATTTGTTTGCAGTTTTGGCACAAGAGATGGACTGCTGATGAGAATTGGGTCTAATGTTACGGATATTTTTAGTTGAGGTCTGAGTTTTTGCGAGAAACGGACGGCAATTAACGTCTTTTGTTGTTTGAGAGACGAGTTGTAAAGATGTGTAAAAAGTCTTTTTATTTGATCGGACGGTTGTATCAGATTTCTTGCGCGGAACCAATGTTTGCCTCACGAATACAGTCCATGCCTTTCATAACATACAAAAAGCCACAGAAAGAGATTTGTCACGAATTCAGCTCTTTGTCAACGAATTTAGTTATTAATAGTAAACACACCGACTTGTAGTAAACTCCTGTCTATAGTGAACATTGTTTGGCACCGGTGTTCACATTACACAGAATTGACTGTATATTCTAGTTGAAGAGTTATAGCAAACAATTCACTGCTTTATTCCCACAGAATATAGCGATGAGAGAGTAAAGCATTGGTTGTGAAACTCGTGCTAAACTGATAATTCAATTATCGATTTGACGCCAAACTAATGGAATGAGTTCTTCTCTATTCATTTCACTTAATATATCGATAAGACATCTCTTAAACGACTGTTTCGTCAGCTTCTCCACACTGGAGACACCGTTTCCATCGACATCATTGTCTTTGAGATCATTTAAAAGTCTCGCTTCTAATAAATCTAAGAGATTGGTGGTTGGGCTCTGTTGGGACGCGAAGTACGGCAGATAGTGGTCGAAGTTGCAGATGGAGGCCAACTGTCGCCAGTCGTTGTGATCATTTCGCGGCAAATCCAAGTGTGCGGCCAATCCTAGCCTCACATTAATGTCAGAATCGCCGTACAGTTTGATAACCCGATCATTAATTTGGCTCTTATTATAACTATGAATATTGTTGTTGTCATTACAATAGTCCCTATAATTGATTAAAATTGAATTATCTGGTCGTCTGTCGCTCTCATGACTCCCGTTCCCGTTCTGCCAGACCTTTATCTTGTAATTCAATTTCGAATGACTGTCCTCGACGGCTGAGCCGTTAATTATGATGAACGAGCAGTGGAGCAGTGAATTGGGGCCACAGTTCCAGAGGTGTGTCAGAGGGACTTCTTGTTGTTTCATTCCCTTCACTCGGCCCTCCTTTGGAGTCATAATCTCCAGACACAGCGCACCGGCGTCTGAGCACAGCCTAAACACACTATTTTTGTCTCCAAACCGAATCTTACGGTTATTATGGTCTTCGTTAAGGAGACTAATTCTCGACGAAGAGATGTTGTCATAGATGTAAACCTTTAAGAGATGTTCTGTGGAGGAGAACTGTTCTATGGATAGACCAAAGTTGAGGGCTTTAGCTAAAGGCAACTCCCGATGCAGTGGTGAATGAATGTTAGTTTTACTCATTTCTTCGACATTGCAATTGTCGGCGAAAATGTATCCGTTTTTAAAGTTACTCTTTGGCTTTGTTTCCTTACGAACACAAAACATATATTTTCCCCAAAGGTTTGTCAAAAGATAAATAAACTGTTCGTCTATTTCAACAAAACATGAAGTGTTGAGGTCTTCCTCGCCATACCTCAACACTTCGATCCACTTCTGACTTGACTTCATATGAGATGTATTGATGTTTTCCTGCCATAAAACACTCAAACCTTTTGGCAGTTTTCCATAAACTGAAAGACAGTGTTCAATGCATACGACGACAGGTCTGTTCAGATCAATGGTTCCGCGGTTCGACACAATCACTACTGGACTCAAAGAGCTGACACCTGCACAGCGAGACTCCAGGTCTATGCCATAGCGCAGTGACAGCACTGGATCTAACGGATCAGTTGTGTTAAAGTCTATGGCGTTTGGGGGCACATATAGTCCGACACCTAATTGCGATGTATATGAGAAATAGCCGGTTGTCAGCATCTCTTCGCTCACTTTTATGTCAATTAAATGTTGTCTTAATTCTGACATCTCTGTGGAATCGTTGGAACAAACCAGTGATTGATTGGATAGTAAAGGAGTGGACAATAATTGAGAGCTTGGAGGAGGAGACGGACTCTTATCATTAATTATCTCATATTCAGGATCGCTGTCTTCTTCACTGGTAGTGATGGTGGCAGTGGTGGTAGTGGTGGCCATAGACATGGCTGAGGTAGGCATGAGTTTAGGCGTTCCAGATATAGAGGCATTTAATTGATTGAAAGAAGATTGACTCGTATTTAATAAATTATTTGTATGACTGAAGATATCAGAGTTATTGGCACTCAATGTGTTAGGAACTGACGGTAAGGGATCGGCCAGCGATCGACTGACCACGAAATGGTCCAATAAATTGGTGTTATATTCGTTAAGTCTAGATATCAATTGACACTTTTCGGGACTCCCACTGCGAATGAGGTCAGGCTGTTGTTGGCCCTGTTGTTGAAGCAGCAGAAGCATCGCCTGTCCGTCTTCGCCGACCCTTTCCTCGTCGGCGTCACTCCACTCCTGAGCCTTAAGTCTTCTTCGTTTGAGTAAAACAAAGACGAATACAATGAAAATGAAGAGAAAAGTTGTTGTGATAATAATTGACATCAAATATATTTGTTGGCTGTCAGTCGCGCCGCTTTCCTCCCGTTCCCTTCGTTGCAGTTGATAGAGATCTAGTGTATGGAAAGGAAAAATATATTTACAATCACAACGTCTCTCCAAATGTCTATTCAATCGTTTAGTTCTGTGATGTTATCTCTGAAGGGAAACGCGTTTTAGTGCTGAAATGTTTTCGCAAAGGAAATGGATATAAGAATATGAGACAAATCGAGAGCCGGAATCTTAACGCAATATTTTATAGCTCTTCGCATAAAAATGAAAAATAAGACAAAATGAAGGGAAAAGTGAAAAAAGCCGATCGAAAGTAGTGACAAGCCGTCAGTGTGTTGTGTACACTACATGTCTCGCAAATAGAATATATTGGGGACTGGGATGTGATGGCATTTTGATGATCACACAAAGTGGTGTGCAGTTAAGTTATATGCGATGTAAACGAACCAAACACTAATGCTATGCTTCTCTATGCTCTCTCCAGCTATAGATCAAAATGTTGTGTAGAAGGAGACGGAGATAGAGATAGAGGGAGAGGAATGGCAGAGAGGGATACAGTCGAGGGATGACTGACTGACTACTATTGCTATTGCTTTCCTTGACAGTCGACTACTACTCTGTGAATGGCCTCCACTGACTCTCTATGTTCTAGTGATGCACTTAATGGTCTGTGATCTCTACGATCTGATACATAGTTTGCAAAAGTTATGGAAAGAAAAAGACATAAAACGAGTTGCACTGCAATAGCACTGCAATAGAGAGAGAGAGAGAGAGAGAGAGAGAGAGAGAGAGATGAAGAGCACAGCGAAAGGAAGGATGAAATTGACTGATATGTTAGCATTTGTATGAGAAATGGATCACAACTACTGCACTGTTTGCCATGAATTGCATAGTTTTGTATGATATTTGTTGGGGAACTACACCAGCAATGAGTCATTCCTTATAAAAACTGCAAAACTCAAGACTAAAGACAGAAGAGGAGCACAACAAGAGAAGCACAGACAACAAAACATCGCAAACACATCCATTGCATCGGAATAACTATAGATCAAAAACTTTTCAACCGTTTCAATGACAGTGTAGACGCTCTCCCCCCTCAGTCCAACCAAAAAGAGCCCTTTTAGTCAATTAATAGGGAACTCAACACAACTAATCAGAAACTAAACCGATTTATAGACATTTCAATCGTCATTCGATGCAATCTTCCTGTT